TTGTTAAATAAAATGCGCAAGAACTTTCACGAAATGTTTTAAGACTAAGAAAAATAATTATATTAAGAATTCCACCAATTAAACCACTAATAAATATTAATATACCACCATATGTTATTATTTGTTGATTTGTTTGAAGAAGATATGAAATAAATGATGATGACATCGATTGACTTTTCTATGCGTCTGACTATCATACACAAAAAAAAAAAAAGAAAATGTTTTTTGAACTTTCTCTAATTGATAGAGTTTAACATGTTCATGATGAGAACATTTTTTTAATACTAAGACGTGCTTAACTCGATATAAAGCTTTAAGATCATAATAGTTTTCATTCTGTAACATTTTTTTTTCTTCGTTGTAACAAAGAAAAATGAATAGTTAACTGTAATGTCTTTAATCATTATACATCAATGAAATATATAACTTATTATCATTGTAATAAATCTTATAAAAGTGTGCATTTTGATTAAAAACAAAAAAATAATTGAAAATTATTTATTAAATATAGAATAGTTTCTTTTTATTATCTATCAATAATAATTATAAATTGAAAGAATTAGATAAACTTTGTAAAAACACAATCTAACAAGGATGTTGAAATATAAGTGTAATTAATAGGTAGAAATTCATAAACTTGAAACATAATTTTCTCTTTTATAATACTATTGACCATTTTAAAAAGAAAAGGCAGATGGATATTTTTTTGATAGAAGCAGGATAGAGAGCTACGGTTTTCATCGTTGGACAGAGGAGATAAAGATGCATCGAATGGTATATTGTAGACTTCTCTAAAATGTTTTCTCAATAAATTCTCTGAAAAAAAATGTCGGAAAATTGATAGAAAAAATGCAAAAAAAAAGTAATTTTCTTTACAGAAATTAGTAGAAAAATCGACTAACGAAGGAACCTTTCCAAATGTTAATCGTTGATCGAGCTCATATTTTGTCCATAACTAAGACCCATTTTACTGGTTTTTCGATCTCTGGCAATGGTATTTATAGTGAAGCCCAACAATGAAATTTTGACCTGAAATTTTGTCCATAAACAGATCTCATGGTCACTAGAATGTCCTAAAAGTTTCAGCTAAAATGAACGTTTTTTTCTCATGATATTGAATTTTCAAGAAGCTCGATTTTTTGACCTTTGCCTTTGATATATGACCGTTCCTTGAAAATTCAATATCTTGAGAAAGAAACGTTCATTTTAGCTGAAACTTTTAGGACATTCTAGTGACCATGAGATCTGTTTACGAAGAAAATTTCAGATCAAAATTTCATTCATGAACTTCACTATAAGTATCATTACCAGAGGTCGAAAAACCAGTAAAACGGTCGTAATTCCCGAAGAACAACGTATGAGGACGAATCTTTCCGAGCTTCTGCTAATCTCATAGAGTCTTAGTTATGGGGCAAAATATGAGCTCGATCAACGATTAACACTTGGGAAGGTTTCCTCGTAAGAGTTTCGAATAAAATACCTATAACTCCTGAACAACTAAATCTAAAAGTCTGGATCTTGTGCAGTTTTGTAGATCTTCATTTATCGGTTCGAATGAGCATCTGATTATGGGAAATTGGCCTTAGTCATCTTAAGGAGTATGTTGATTTTAAAAAACATTGATTTAAGCCTTTGAGAAAATTAGATCACATTATTCTATAATACACAGTTCGATGCGTCTTGGGATTCTTTTTCCAATGGTGAAAATCTCAGCTCTCTATCTTTTTTTAAATTCTATTAACGAATCCATATTCGAATGTCAGAATGAAAAATTAAATCTCTACTAATAATACACGTTGATGGTAAATGATTTTTTAACCAAATAATAAGTTCATCATTGTTTGTTTCATTGAATTGATCATTTTCACATTGAATAATTAAAGTACGAAGATTAATCATATTATTTAACATATCAAGTAATATTTGATAATTTTTTATTTTAATAAAAAGAATTTCACATTGAATACCTAATAATGAATGACTTAATAAAATACATTGTTCATTATTAAAATATTGATTATATCCTCGTAAATCAAGTCGACGTATTGATCTATTTCGAAGTTCAAGTGGTGGCATTTGTAAAAGACATGATGTAAAACTTAATGAATACAAATAAGGTGTATGATCAAGTAAAATTTGTAATTGAGATTGAATATTATTCTCATCATTTATTGAAATAACAATTGATGTTAATTGATTTAATTTTGGTATTACAGACCAAAAATGATTCGTAATAGGAAATTTTAAAAATAAATTTTCAAGATTAAAAAATTGAATAGAAGATGAAACTATTTCATCATTTGATGATATTTTATATTCAAGATCATGTACATGATTATAATGATCTATATAATTATTATTATTATTATTTGAAAATGTTGATTTAAATTTCATTGAAGAATTAAATTTAAAAAAATTAAAACTATATGGTAATGTATATAAATATATTGAATTTGAACTATTCGTTGAATTCCAATGACATTGAACATACCAATTATGTTCTATAAGCCAAAATGAAGTTTGAAATGAATGAATTAGTTCATCTATTTGTTGTTCACGATTATTTTTATTAATTAATTGAAATTCTATTCGAAATTGAAAGATTTGAAGATTAGATAAATAATTACGAATAATTTTTTCCCATTGATAACCATTTAAAATTGTATTTGTATAATCTTCATCATAGGAACATATATCAATAATCAAATGATATAAATTTGGTATATTTTGTAAGAATTTTATAATTCTATCTTCTTGTACTCGTGATAAACAAAGTTTTAATTTCGTAATTGTTAAAAATGGATATTCTATATCATCATCATCATTTGAATCAAAATTGAGTAGAATAGAAAAATTTTCTAGACATGGTGTCTGTTTCAATAAAGCATTGATTTTATTTTGATAATGTTCAATACCCCAAATAAATACATATTTTAATGATGAAGATATAACTGTTGGTACAAAAATATTATTTTCATTAAAATTAATATTTAAATAACAATAGATCAATTTAGATAAACTCCAAATACTATCAATTAATTGTTGAGCATTAATTTGTTCAAATTGAAGATAACAACCAGCAAGAGTTAAATGAGTTAAATTTACAAGATATTTCCATTCTAACATCATTTTATTCATTATTTCATTAGAACAAAGATCACATAATGATAATGATTTTAAATTAATAAATTGAGAAATAATTAAACCATGTTCAAGAAAAAGATCAATTTGTTGTGGAGTATCATCATCATTTGAAAGACTTAAAGAATTTATGTCATTGGCTATAATTGGAAGATATTGACAACATATAAGATTAAAATCATATTGAGATACTGATCGAAAATTAAGATCAAAATGTTGAAAATGAATCATAATTAAATTATTAAATCGAAAATTAAGATTATAAAATGTTCGAAGAAGATCAACAGCAGAAAAATATTCAAATAGATCAAGTAATAATTCATTGGAGAAAGATTCTAAATTCATAAATTATTACTTTTTGAAGTTACTATAATGAGAGGCTTCTAAAACGGTAATATATAATAAAAATTACTACTGTTGTCAAATAATATAAACGCAAAAGTTATGCAACGTCAAAATTTCAATATTTCTTTTTACAATATTACGAAATAACACATATGATGTTCTTGCGTAATGACTTGATGTCTATAGAACAAGCAATTTTTTTTTCGTTTGCGTTCTTTTACAAAGATAGTAACAGTAAAAAAGCGACAGCTATACGTCGTAGTTTAAACTAGACATATGTTTGTTTGAAAACAAAACTGTATTAAACAGAAATAACTACAAACTAAGTTCTCAGTTAGTTTTCATGGACTAGAATGTTTTTAAACGTCAGCATGCTTTTCTACCTGCGATACAATATATTGAGCAAAGCTAGATGCATGAGGATTTTATTTACTATTTTAAAAAGCTTAATCTGCGATTTCAAGAGAACAGTCATATATTCAAGACAAACCAACATCTATAGATCTCACATGTAGGTATGACATCAATTCAAATTATCATTATTAGCTATCTCCAAGACAAGATTATGAGAAAAAAATACGGTTTTTGACGATCCAAAAAACGAAACTATACTCTGTTAGCTTTTTATGTTTCGTGTACAAAATAAACGAAGTGCAACTGTACGTAAAATGATAAGGAGGATGTCGTGTTCCATTTTCATCATGTTTGACAATTATTATATATATATAATGCTCTCATGTTATTAATTAAAAATGAAATGAAACAAAAAAAGCAACATATAACTATGTAGTAATCATTTTTTAGACAGTCAATAGATCAAATCTAATAATTTTGTCAATCTTTTCTGTCTTCAAACAATCTAAGAGATTTAAATAACGAAGAACATATATAAATTAACAATGAAATCAAAAAGTCACCTGTTCACAAAAGAGATATACGATTGTCTATTATACTAGATTCTTTTTCTGTTTGCATTCATTTTTATGAATTAGCAAGTGCTGTAACATCAGCTTGTGTAAGTTCACAACTATGCACATACACTTCATCTACTAAACCTTGATAACCATTATTTGAAATACTATTTGATGAGCAAGCATACATACGTATATCCCAATTGTAAATATGTTATTTAACCAGAACTAGAAAATGTAAAACTACCAGTATGACCAAAATAGATTCCATTAACATATAAAGAAAGTCTATTTGTGAAACTATATATCACTGAAATATGTGTCCAAGTATTTCTAGTAATGTACGGACCGACTATAATTGGCCAAGACAATCCTTGAGCAATAATTTGTCCTGTTGTATCATAATTTCAAAAAAATCTCAATAAGATTATGATATCGATAACTTGTCAAAGAATAAGAACATTGAACTATAGTAGAAGCTGTAAGTGCTGTTGGATTGATCTATAAAGAAATTGAAAATGATTTACTTGCATAAACTTCATAACCAACTTGAAAAAAACCGTACGAATAAAAATAAGACGATGAACCCGTAAAACGTATTGCTTAATTGACATAACCAGAAGCTATAATTGTATTATTTTGTGTTCCATTAAAACTATTTGGACCATTACCTTTATATGGAGAACGTACATCAAATGAAAAATAACCAGCTAATGAAGCAGTAGTAAGAATTTCATCAGAAGTTTTTGCACGTATAGTTATTTGTACATTATCAATATAACCATTAAAATAATCTCTTATTTAAAAAAAAAAATAAATGTTGAACCAATATCAATTGATCCATTAGTTCCTTGATATGATTAGCATCTGATTTAATTGTATCTTGTATTCCATTAAAACATACAAGATTTATTGTTTTGTATCATAATTATAAACAAAAGTAACATAATATCAAAGATTATTAGTTAAATTTTATGAACCACTTATATCATTGTGTGTAAAACCAGCAAATAAATGACTTCCTCGAACAAGAAAATATAAACATTGATTAGAATATGTCGTACATGGACATTGACCAAATATACCATAATCACCAGAATAAACTGTTGTTGAAAACAATCCATGTGTCTATTGTAAAATTTCTATAGGTAAGATTAACAAATGGACTTGAAACTTTCATATATTGACTTGATGATGATGATGATGATAAACGAAGTTCTTGGCCATAAGCAACAAAAGTTTGATTGTTGGCTGTTGAAAAATACGATGCACTATTCATTAATATTCTATTGTAGGTGTTTGATGAATCTGGCGTTACAGCATCAAGAGACCAATGAACAGAAACAACTGTAGAGGCTTCAGTATCTATTGATGTTGTTGTGTCTAAATCAAAGATACTATACAAATATTTCTTAATCATATAGTTCATTACTTAAAACTTTTTCTGAGTGATTTTAATTTATATCGATTAGAGTTTTTGAGAAAGTTCTATCTTTGAGCACACTATATTCATCTTTTAACTATCGCAAACTAATAGATGTCGCATTATCTTGTTTTCGTATAAGTAATACAGCAGGAACATACTGCAACAACAATTACTACGATAACAACTGAAGCTATAGCGACATCACCAATAACTTTCTTTCGCATTGACTATCTATAAATAAAGAAAAATAACATGTTGATAATAATTAAATGATCAAAGAAAATAATCCATTGCAAATAATCGAGAAAAAAAAGTGTTTCACATTGTCGAAGTGGCTGTGTGGTTCGGATTAGACGACTTCATTAAGAGTACAGGAGGTACGGCTCGAGTTAGAAGACTGTGAACTCGGTAGTAGTGAGGCATCCTGGATGCCGGAAAATGAGAAATGAAATTTGATTTTTTTGACTAGACAAATTAATAGAGAATGATACATTATTACTAATCACTCCCCGAACTAGAAGATAAACCTCTAAAAGAATCAGTATAAAAGATGCATTAGAAGTGTCATGACTGCTATTGTATCTATACAATGTCACTTTTTCAAGCGAAACAAAGCATCCGCATGGTTTTCGCGGTATGGACAGATTTTATTTATATGTATCGTTTCTAAACCATCGTTCCTAATTTCTTAAGATTGCTGGATCTTATCTATGATGTTTTCAATTGCAAATTCGTTATTTCTTACCTCTATTTACCTTCTAATGGGATGGAAATGAATTAAGTTTTGTTGTTTCTCCATCTGGTATTATTTGTCTTTTTTTAAGAAGTTAATAGATCGGATGACATGAAACAGAAAGAAAGAAAAATAAACATTTTCAGTGGCATTATTAAGTAACTGCTGTTGATAATATTCAACATGATATTGTTATTTTTAATGACAAAGAGAAATGGTTTATGAAAGAAATCATGATCACTACCTGAGACGAAAGAAAAAGTATGCCACAAATTTTACCTTCTTACATACGTAAATATGAAACTGCCTGAAATACACTATATGAGCAGTCGTTGCACTTAAGCCATGGCCGACATCACAGTAAATGTAACCAAATGAAGAAATACTGAACGCTCTATTATTAATCAATGCTTTACGAAAAGCTCCAAAAGCCATAGATTTTAAAAGAGCTTTTCTTGCGAAACTTTATTTTACGAAAACAGTTCCTCAGACAGATTTGAAATATTTAATCGATCTACATATTAGTGATTTGTACTGTGAAAAGAAACACTTGACTCAAATAATCGTGTCCTGCATATATTAATAAGCCTCTGAAAAATTATTTATAATACTATTTTATTAATCTGTAGATTATTATAGCATAGCACTGTAAGATTGTAGTTTGACAGTATAAGTCAAATCAGTGTTTTCCTTATTCAGACCTTGACATTAACGAGAGAACCGCTCGAAGCGAGGGTATGAGTGTGGGTGCGAGTGTTCTCATCATTCACACCCCACACACCCACACACTCATACTCAAAAAAGAACAAGATAGAGAGAACAGAGAATCTCCTGCGTTGGCGTATTCGTTTATGTGCACCATCTATAGAGCATTCTTTATAGGTTCGCACAAGTCGACCAATCAAATAGATACTAAGATCGTTGTGCCGTATTATACTTTCTGTTGTGTCTGTACCAGTAGTTAATAAAAATTGCACAAGGACACAAACTACTCACAAAAGATAAACTCATTTCTTCGAAACAAAAATGAGTTCGTGTCTTGAGTTCTTCTCGACAGAGCTCTTCTATGAAATATTCCAGTTTTTGCTACCTTGGGATCTAATGCATGCTTTTATTGGTCTTAATCATCGTCTAAATGATATTCTTGGCTCATATCCACTTCGACTTGACTTCCAATCTGTCTCCCGATTCAAGTTTGATTTCATTTGTCGTCATCTTCAGCCTAAACAAGTGATTGCACTCATTCTTTCCGATGAGGAAACATCTGATCAAGTTCAACGTTTTATCAATTATTTTCCAAATTTCAAAAATCAGTTTACTCATCTCCAAACTCTAATTTTTATTGATGTCGACACTGTTTTGTTCGATTTACTAATTTCCGTCTCATCTCTCTCATTCAAAAGATGTACACGCACCGCCAACGGTCTCATTAGTCAAATATGTAGTCGACAAGCCACTTTGTTGACTCATTTAAGTGTCGCTCAAGTCGATATACTTCAATTAATAGACACTCCATTTCATGCATTGACTCATTTAACTACTGGCTGTCACTCCTTCTCCAAATTGTATCAGGTCATTGAACGTGTCGAAGCCTCGATTACTCATCTTCATATTATCGTGGGTGACAATCATACGAATGAAACTATGGTGCCCAATTTCGAGAAACTACCTTGTTGCCTCACACATTTGACACTCATATTTCATGAAGGTAAAAACACATTTGTCGAGTGAAATTTTTCTTTTATTCTCTTCGATTGTAGTTCATCTGGTTTCATTTAATTCAGTTGAACGGTGTCTAATCGAATTAGAATGATTGACACATTTTACAGTTGTTGCAAGAGTAAAAGATATGAGAGATCTAATGGACGGTACTCGATGGGAACAACTCATCCTCAAAACCAGAATTGTCAAATTCAATTTCAGATTCAAATACAATTTCTCAAGAAGCATTATTCATAGTCAAGATGAAAATTCATTACTTGCTTCATTTCGTTCACCTTTTTGGCTTGAGCAGAAACGTTGGTTTGTTGCATGTTACAAAGAGGCACTCGATTCGGGTCTTAATGTTTATTCGGTGCCTGAATTTCGACCACATCACGTTTTTTTATGTCATACAAGTAACTATCCACCCTTAACAACGGCTCCACCCATAGTCAAGCAACACTCTTTCTATACCAGCAACATCGATCTTGTGGTCAAATTCTCCGAATCGATAACACCACCCATTCATCGCTTTACTCAGGTGAACTCGTTATGTCTCTTGGGTTCTATGTTGCCATCGGTTAATACTCTTATGTCCTATGTTGATCTTCGTCGAATAAAAAAACTCGATGTTTCGAATATTCATACCATTTTGGTGAACGAACTCCATTCACTTCTCGATCATACACCTCAGTTATATCATTTCACATTAAAAAATATTGATCCATTGTTTGTTTTACCTCGACAAATTGTTTCTTGCAAATTGAACAATGATGATCAACGGATTGATGTTGATCAATTCTGTTCGATATTTTCGCATATTGAACACCTGGATATTACCGTCGATTCAAAAGAGATTATGATTGAATTAATCAATCGACTTGAACATCTCGAGAACATCGTATTTCGGCTATGTAATGTGAGAGACTTGAAGAAATTTTCAACTGAATGGTTTCAACAGAATACACGTCGTCTGAATTCAAACAATTTCATATGTCGAATCATTGACGGTGTTATTTGTTTAGTTATTGACAATCTTTGCCCACAGAGATCTTAGGCTCGTGATACACGCACCAGATGTTTACCACTATATAACTTTTGAGAAACTGGATCAATTTACTTTCAAAGACTCACTATTTTTTTTTTCATTTTAAAAGACCAAATTTTGCATTTGGACAAACTTGAAATTTGAGTGTGGCTATGGCAGTGAGTGTGTGTGTGGATGTGGTGGTGGATTTGGGTGTGGAGTTTTGGTGTTCATTTTCACTTCGCCCACACCCACACCCACACGCACATCCTCTTTTTATTTAAGTAGAAATAACAGTGAGACGGAAATTTCTATGACTAACATGTTAGTATACATTAATTATGGACACGTACTATATATGACTAAAATATATGATCTAATTCTCAGTGTTGTTCCATTTAAAGTGAGAAAAATAGCTGTGTTATTCTTTTTGATCAGCTGATAATACTTTTTCTGATTTTAAATCACTTCCATAGAATTTTTGCTCTATTTATCTTCCACACAATCGCCATAGTATACTAAGAGTATCGAAGTAAATAAAAAACTACAGTACAGTTTATTCGTTAAACAGGATTAAAGTTATTCTTTTATGTGAATATTACAGATACTTACAGAGAAAGAGTAATATAAATAATTAGCCGAAAAGATCAGAAGTAATAAATTTGAGGTAGTTAAATACTATTCGACAAACTTATTTCTATTTTAATTATTTTATTACAATTTAAGTGACGCTTCTTTCTTCTTCGAAGATGATCTTTTCAATGTTTCATAAAAATTGTATAAATAAATTAATCACGAAAACAAAATAAAATGGAAGAAAAATAAAACAGGCTATATATTTGTTTTAGTCTAATTTCATAGTGGTACAGAAGCCAAAACGGTTATAATACCGACCAGGTAGGTGCGATTCTTTTCCGTACGACTATGAAATTAGACTAAAAGAAATATATAGCCTGTTTTATTTTTCTTCCATTTTATTTTGTTTTCATGATTAATTTATTTATACAATTTTTATGAAACATTGAAAAGATCATCTTTGAAGAAGAAAGAAGCGTCACTTGAATTGTAATAATATAATTAAAATTGAAATAAGTTTGTCGAATAGTATTTAACTATCTCAAATTTATCGGTAATTTTTCTATCAACAAAATAGGTCAGAAATAATGCGAAAAAATGGTTTGTGTTGTTAACATTATTTCGTTATCTTTTTTAACCATTTTCAGGCATTTTTGTGACAGTTTTACATCATTATTTTTATTACAGTTTTGTGCTATTTTAATACCATTTTTCCGTTGCAAGTCCTAGCTGGGATATAGCGACTTTTAGAGATACTCTGTTGTAATAACAGTTCCATTCGTATTTTCTCTAACATATGTTTTAGGTGCTGGAGGAATCGGTGTTGATCTCGAAATATGATTTACTATATCTGTAGGTTGCGATACATGTGTTAATTTAGGCTGAACTTCCATGATGTTATCGACAGTTGAACGTACACATCTCACTTTGAAGCCATGTTTGATCCAATGAAAGAGTGCATAAGCTAAGACAACAATAAAACCAATCATTGGCACCAGAAACGAGATACGAGTAGAATGTGCATCAGCTATTACACCCTGAATTGGAGGAAAGACAGCACCACCGGAGACTCCCATAATAAGAATACCAGCTCCACGACGCGCATGGCGGCCGAGATTAGCTGTTCCCATTGCAAAAATAGTTGGAAACATAAGGGATTCAAAGAAATATATTGACATAAGAAGAATGACAGCAGAACGACCATAACCAACAGATACGTAAATTGTAAGGACAATACTAATTACAGAATATATGAGGAGAATCAAATCAGCTTGAAAGAAATGAGATAGTATAATACCAATAAAGCGACTAACAGTGAATGTAATGAGAGCATAGGATAAAAGTTTTGATGCTTGAGAATCCGTAAAATCAGCATTTTCAGTAGCATAGTTGATAAAAAAGGAGGCAATTGTGACCTAAATAATAATATTGTTTTCAACACATGAATATACAATAGATCTATTCGGTTGAGCTTCAATACTAACATGTATCTTGATATTCGCATCTCTTAGACATATTTTATTACCTGAGCGCCAACATAGCAAAATTGTGCTAGAAATCCAAAAATCATGTTATATTGTTTCCACAATGGTTTAATTTGACTATTGGCTTGATCCGTGACGTCAGTAGAATCTTCATCGTCTGTAACGATTTCAGGTAATTTCGAGAAGAAAAAAACAATAGCTAGTAACGCTGCACTACAGGCAACAGTTATATAGACGTATTTGACGTTACCAAGATTAGTAGCATGTTCACCTGAGAAGAAGAGTTTAGAGGCAATGAGTGGACCGATAAATGATGCTACCCCATTCCATGATGCACAAAATTGTAAACGAATAGCAGCCGATTGTGGATCACCAATCATTGCAGTGTACGAGTTCGCTGCAGTTTCTAGTGTACCAAGACCACAAGAAATGACAAATGTGCAAACGATAAACCCTCCAAAAGCTTGTTTCCCTTTAGTTGGATTAGAAAAATGAGCAGTTGGCCAGAAAAAAATAGCACCTAAGGCGAACAGTACCAAACCTGTGATAATTGTAATCTTGTAACCTTTACGTTTAAGCAATTCGGCAGCGATCGGTGAGAAGCAAAAGTAACCACCACCAAAATAGACAATTTGTAATCCAGTAGATTCAAGCTTTGTAACTTTGAGCACATTTTGAAAATGCTTATTTAAGACATCGAGAAGACCATATGAGAAACCCCAAAGAAAGAACAGTGAACTGGCTAGACCCAAAGGAAAAATAAGCTGACGACCTTTGAGATACTTGCGATTGGATGAAGATGGTGGAATAACTGCGCCTCCAACCATTTCAAATGAATATAAATCCTATGAATTATTTCGACTCACCAAATAAAATAAAAAAAATAAATTGTCTATAGATACAAATCAAAGCATCTAATTATGGTATGGTACGAAACAGAAGATATTTGTAATTAAATAAATACAAAGAGGTAATGATGTTGGTGTATCCTCAGCAAATTCACTCGATTCTTTAAATACATTAACCCGACGGTATAAATGTTTATATAAAAAACTTAATTTCACCTTTCGAAGCAATCTGTTGATAATGCCACACATATAATACTTCGAAACCTTTTTCTTTAGCCTTTCTTTATCAACATATTTCATTGAATGTATTTTGTAATAATGACATTCATCATGTTCTTTCATTTTTGGTAAGAAGTTGTTGTATGCATTTGTAAATATATATATTCTTTTGTTTAAAGTTCCTGAACTTTCATCATCCATTTGAGTTGTTGAATTAATAATACTTCTTTGTCAATTGATTCTTATATACGAGTAAAGAAAATCAATGTCATGATTGAAGTATTTTAGCAGAATGATCTTCAATAAATACAAAACTCAACGACATGAATAACTGAGATAGATTGGTTAGATGAATATCTTTATGGTAATAATGTTTTGAAAAATTTGGCCAGGTGAATAAAGAAGTAGTGTGCAAATGAAGGTTTTGCTTATTTTATTGGTTATGTTCAATAATGGAAAGGGTGTGGGGTTTGGGTGTGGGTGGGTATGGAAACAATATCAACACTTACACACACACCCACACCACACTCTCAAGATTCTCTTTTGAATCGAATTAGTGATCTAAGCCATCTGACGAGTCCCTTAAGCAAGGACGAAACGCGTCGTAAGTAGCTTGAAATTGTTCTTCTAAACCGCTCGTGGTTGCTTATATTACCTTGAACTCACCCTCACACCCTCACACTCAAGATCGAAACTAGTCGTGGTAGCTTATTTATTTCTTTGAACTCACCCTCACTCTCAATTTGTCGTCAATGTATATTTAGTCAATTAGAATCAATAATTAATATATTTGATTTAAATTCCGTTGATAATCAAAAAATAGTTATTGAATTTCGAAATGAACAAATCGAACAACATCAAGATATGATATTTATATCACATATGACGAAAATTTTCAAACTTTTACAAATAAATTCAATATCATTTGAAAAGATTTTTCTTTTTAATGAATTATTCAAAATACACAAAAATTAATTTTTATTTAAATAGATTATTTTATCACTTATATTTAAATCACAATGAGAAACTGTTAGATTTCTTGTTGAAGATGATAAAATTCTTTAAATAATTGATGAACTTATTTCAACAGATAAGTAAGAATACAAAATCATTATTTATCATCAGAATTTGTACTTGCTTGTTTTTTTACTATTATTTAGAACAATTGTTCGTCGTTTATTTGCACAATGTTCAATAAATATAAGTGCATATTATATTGATACATATAGTTTAAAACGTGCTGCAAGAAAATTTATTAAACAATATAATTTTAATTTACATGATTTTCCTAATTTATCAACACAAGAAAAAATAAGTTTTCTTAAAACTCTTTTTGTTAGAAAATATTTAGAAAGAAAAACTAATGATCATGATGAAAACGATCAATCATGGAATGCACAAATTAAAGTATATTTTCTAGACAAATATTGAATATCGACTAATATTTTGATTTTGTTTTTTTTTGCAAGGAACTAATACAAAATAATCATGATTTACAAATAAAATCAGTTGATTTATTTGTTGATTATACTGATATTGATTCAGCTGTTGAATGAGCACGTTATTATAATCTTAAAGATTTTGAAATACCTGAACAAGTAAATCTTCGTCATCAAGAAATTATTAATGGTAAACAAAGAAGTCAACCTATGTTAATTAAACCATCAACTTGGTTATGAAAACAATCTGAAGAAAATATTTATAAACTAACAATTTTTTCATCAGATATTTTTTTATATTGAACTTGATTTCGATGTTGATTCATTTTTAAATTGATTAGAAGTTTTGTTTATCTAGAAAATATTTTATTTTTTCTAATATTTTTTATTTTCTAAGTGGTCCTCGTTGTGATGTTGGTTTACATTTACCATTTGTTGATTTTGATTGTGAAACATTTATGAATCCAACACAACAAACACTTAATTCTCAAATAATTTCAATTGTACAATTAGCAAGTTTATTATCAAATACATCATCAATCTTTATATGGAATATTTGATATGCTTGCATTACGTTTACAATTTAATATTAAATCATTAGCTGCTTTTGCTCAACAACTTTTTTGTTCACGAGATTTTATACTTTTAAGTTTGTTTTATTTGTAATTATTTTTATAAAATAATTCTTTAAATTTTATTTTAGGATATAACTATGCTGGTAATACATCATTTCTTATTGAAAATTATCCATCAATAAGTGATGCACTTATGCAAGGAACAGCTATTATTGATTTATATCGTGTACAACAATATGTAAGTTCTTTTTATGAGTTATATGAATTCCAGTTTGAATCGAATTTCTGATTTTGACCTCTTAATATTTGACATTGTTGTTTGATTTTTTTATTAAAAATAATTCTTTCAATTCGTGGTGAAGCAAATAATGATCGTTTAAAAAAATAATATATTAACATACATAAATAGATTTATTGAAAAATTTGATGAAAATGGTGATATGAAAACTCATCTTCAAGATGAATTTTGTCGAATTTGTGCACCAGATGATTATCTTAGAGAAATTTTATCACCAAATTTTACTTCATAAATTGATTATTTATTTGATAAACTATTGAATGATCTTCATACCAATATATGTTACTGTGATATGATATAATATGCTTTCGTTTATTTCCTCTCGAAAATATAACTCAGCTTAAGTTTTTTTTAAGAATATTTGTCGTATTGTTTTAAATAAAATTAAATAAATCATCAAATCAAGTCAATTAAAATAGTTCTTATTTATAATTCCATTGGGAAATAAAGTTGAGGATTCGTATCAAATAGGGAAGTGATAGATCAAGCTCATGAGCTGGTCGCCAGCTTCTATTCAAATAAGCTGATTGACCAATTCTTCTCAAATAATTTTGAGCTCATTTATATATTCTATTCAGAGTGAAAGAATTATGTGTTTTTCGAATAGCAAAAAATTGGAAGTCTGGATAATTGAAAACAGTCTTCTATGAGTCTAAGGTCTGCTTTGGACTTCATAGAAGATAAATGTGCGAAGTATTCTCTCATGGTCTACCGTAGTTTCTCAAGAGAAATATCTTTAAAATATGATTTTTATATTTAAATGAGATTTTCGTTTTAGTCATTAGCATTATCGATGTATCTTAATACATCTGACAAAGATATATCTGATGAAGAATTATGTTCAATATGAGTTTATTATTTGTCAAGAAAAGAAAGAACCTATTTGACGCTAAAAATAAATTCAACATTTTATTGTAATTAATCAAACTAATTCGACACTCAATATAATTTGTATTTTCGATCGTGAAAATATTTTCATTTCGAAAGAAATTTACTTGTTGTTCAACTAACAAATTCATTAAGATGTATTCATAAATTCTTGTATAGATATAGATTCTTTTTAATAACCGAGTTTTCAATTTTCTTTCTATTTTAGATCATTATCCGATTCTATTTGTGCAATAATTCTAATTGAAATGAAGTTATATTATTATAAAGAAAAAAAATATTTGTTTTGTTTTTCAATTGTTTCTCTTCCATTATTTATATTTTAATTCTCAACTCGTCTTGTTACTATCTGTTACAAGAGTAATCTTCTCTTTATACCAGATAGAAATGCACTTACCACATCAGTTGGTAATCGAGTGAATGTGATTGATTTAAAAATATATTGTATCTGATTCATTGTTGATCAAAATCCATATTTTATTTTAGTGGTCGATCAGAAACATTATCATTTGAAAGTGAATTTAATACTATTTGTTCAACTCTCGCATCTAATGATGCACTTTTACTTATTATTAACGAGAGTAAGAGTTAGATTATTTTAATTTCAAAATCTTTCATGTATTTTTTCATAGCTGGTCGAGGATATTTATATAATGTCAAATGTCGTACATTGATTGGTATTCATCGTTTTGGACATGATGTGCATACAATCAAATTCAGTCCTGATTCCAAGTAAATATAATATTGACGATTTAGACATTATAAATCTGTTTCATAATACTTAAAAAAAATCTTTTAATAAAGAAGTGACTAATATTATTTGTCCGTTTCGAATTTATTTTAATAGTGTAGATGAATTGTCAATGAAAATTTTATTTAAGATTTAAACAAGCTTTAATTTTTACCAATAAGTTTTTGACATAAGAAAAACGTTTATATTATAGATCTGTAGCTGTTTGTCGTAGTAATCGATATGAATTCTATACTTGTCCCGGTACTGATCGCCAATTCAATTTGTTTACATTAAAATGTATTCTTCGTTCATTTCATGATAAAACAATATTTATCAATTGGACAAGTGATTTTCTGTATGTTATATTTTTCTTTCATAAAAATAAAACCAAAGGAAATCATTTTTGTTTCATAGTGTTCTGGCTATTATTAGTGCAGATATGATAACTCAAATATTTAGTGTCCCTTTACGAGATAAATTACATCGATTTATATTAGTCAGTCATGTTTGTGAAATAGTTGGCGCTTTTTTTGAACAAGATTCATTGAATGTACATCCATAATTGCCTTTATTTTTCAAATGATATTGTTTTTCTTCTAATATAGATAATGACTATTTGTAAAAATGCAAAAGTCAATTATTAGGCTGCTGATATGGATTTAGCATCTATGGAATCAATACCATGTATACTTGGTGAAAATGATGACCAAGAAATTCCGACATCATCAAATGGTCATGTTGATAGAAATGATGATGATAATGATAATGAAGAATTAGATGATGTTGTTGAACGAGAACGAATTAAACTTTTAGCAAAAACAAAAACGTTTAGATGAATATCTTTTGAAAAATCGAACTAAACATGATATGGCTGTTTTCAAACGAATAAAAAAGTAAAATACAAAAATAAATCAATTTTTTGTTTAAAAAAAATTGCTTTTATTCTATTCTATAGATTTAACTATAAAGAAACATTTGAAGGTGCTGATCATGGTGCTTTACTTCTTTGTGCTGACCATCAAAAAACACATATGTTAGTAGCAGGATTTTCAAATGGACATTTTTATCTTCATGAAATGCCTAATTTTAATATTATTCATTCTTTAAGGTTTGAATAATTACTTTTCTGTTTTAAAAATATTCAACATTCTGTTTGTAATATAGTATTGACGATCAAAAACAAATGATAGCATCAGTATTATTCAGTCCATTAGGTGATTGGATTGCATTAGTTTGTCAAAATCTTGGTCAACTTGTTGTATAAGAATGGCAAAGTCAAACATATGTACTTAAACAACAAGGACATTTTAATAATATGGCTCAATTAGCTTATTTATCGGATGGAATACATATAGTAAGTGGTGGTGATGATGATGAAACAGTTTACTAAATTTGTTTCTAAAAACAAATATTCGAAAATTTTCAATCTAGATCAAATTATGGAATACATCCAATGGCTTTTGTATTGTCATATTTTCTAAACATGCATCTACAGCAACTGGCCTTGAATTTGTATCCAATGGACAATTTATTGTATCAAGTTCATTTGATGGAACTGTTCGTACTTTTGATCTTTTTGAGGTTAGATTATGAGATCTGAAAGGGAAAAAGAATTATCGCGAATTGAGTTCAGATATCTTCTTCCGGTCATAAACACCCTTAGAATAAATAGTGTAAAGGTCGAATCTATCTCTAAATGTCTGTAAATTTCCTTAGATCTTATGAAGAGTTTTCTTTTTTTAAGGTATTGAAATTTTCGAACGTATACATCTCCAACATCAGTATAATTTCCATGTATTGCATTGGATGCTGCCGGTAAAGTTGTATGTGTCGATGGTTTTAATATATATAATATTTTTTTTTCATCAATTAAAAATGAAAAATTACTTGATGTGTAAATTTTTTATTTTTATATAAACAGAAGAAAAACTTTTTTTTAATTTAGATTCTTAGTGAACAAGAAGGTCCAATTAGTGCATTAACATTTGCTCGAAATATACTACTGAAACAGCATTAGCAATTTGTTCATGGAATAAAACATTACGATCATGGAGTGTATTTGTTAGTCAAAGTTCAAGAGAAACATTTCTTTTATCAACTGATGGTTTGAAATCACGAAAATTTTTTCTGAAAATTTTTATTCAATATTTTATCTTTAGCATTATGTTGTGCTTTACGTCATGATGGAAAACAGCTTGCTGTATCAACAGTTGATGCTCAAATACTCTTTCTATCCTGAAACTGATCGACAGACAGCATCAATTGAAGGTAAACATGATTTAGGTTGTACAAGAAAAAAGACAGATAAAGTTATAGAAGAAAAAAAACTAATATTTGGAAGGTAAAATTGATAAGGAAGAATTTTTTAATTCAAATATGAAATTTTCTTTTAGAGCCAATCGAAGTATTTCATATACCCTTGATGATAATTCCCTCGACTGTAGGTAGGGTCATATAAAAAAAAACAGTTTGTGTGTGTCTGCATCGGGATCAAAAAAACATCGGGGTCAAAAAACTTCCACTTTAGAAAATTTTCCATAAAGGTTGACGAAAGTCAATCGAGGCCGAGGAATCCGAATCTGAAGTCAGTTTCTCAAAATTTTGAATTGGGTTTTTAGGGTCAAGAAAAGGGTTTTTGAGAAAATAATGATATTTTATAAAGGTTGACGAAAATAAATCGAGGTCGGAGAATCCGAATCTGAAGTCAGTTTCTCGAAATTTTCAATTGACTTTTTAGGTTGAGGAAAGGATTTTTTAAGAAAATAATGATATTTTATAAAGGTTGACGAAAATAAATCAAGGTCGGAGAATCCGAATCTGAGGTCAGTTTCTCGAAATTTTGAATTGAATTTTTTTGGGTTCAGGAGAAAAGGTTTTTTTGAGAAAATAAATTTTTTCTCGAGTGTAGGAACGGTTATATGAAATAAAATAAGTTTTTGTCATAGTGGAAGGTGAAACATCATAAAAAACGTTGACTAAGTATTCGATTCTCGTGCTTTTAATATTGAATTTTCAACCAATTCAATTTTTCAGAATGAAAATTCAGTCAATCCGACATATGTGATAAGTTCTTCCTTTATCAGCTGTTTCATAACTGGGTGTCCATGGATGAGACTTGTATACTTCTGTCTGATACAGTCGAGGGTCAAGTGAGTCGAACCGACGAACATTACTTGTTATTTATTAGTTGCTGGTCGATCGAAATATATTTCACTTTATAATATTCATGAACAAATTCTTGTTAAAAGATTTAAAATAATTTGTAATAAAAGTTTTGATGGATTAAATGTAAGATATGATTTGAAATAAATATATATAAATTTGTTTCTTTTAAAGGAATATATGAACTGAAGAAAAATGATGAAATTCGGTAGTTTGGCATTGATTGATACGGGTCAAGACGAAGATGAAAATGGAAAAAATATTCGTTTACCAAGTGTACGAAAAAGAGATTGTAGTAGTCCATATTTTAAACCAGAAAATTTTAGTTATCTGTGTCCAATTTTCACCAACAGGTAAAAAAGATCCAAGAAATAATGTTTTATGTATTTATTTAAAAAGAAACTAGCACTTGCATGGGCAGCATGTACAACTGAAGATTTATTCATCTATTTATTCTATTAATAATTCCGTTATATTTGATTCAATTGATTTAAATAAAACAATAACAACATTAAATATTCGTAAAACACTACGATAAAAATGATTCGTATGTAGCATTAATTATGACACTTAAACTTAAGGAAAAAGCATTGATTGTTGAGAATATTGATTCAAGCAATGGTAAGAGAAAGATTTAGATATATTTTCTTTTTTCTTATAAATTATCTTGGGCGTATACACACCGTGACTAGTTGAATTTTCTTTCTGTATGTTTGTGTTCTCCATAGTCTAGTATTTTTCCCGTCCAGTTTGTCTATGGATATATATATATATATATATACATATCTATTATTTTTGTAGGACAAATATCAAACGATCTCGTTAATATATTTGATAAAAGAATTAAATCAAAGCAAAAACGACGTAAGATAAATTTTTAAATATATATTATTAAATAAATCATTATAGATGAACAAATTATAAATAATAGTAAACCAAAAAAAACAAGATCTTGATACAGCAGCACTTGAATGTCGTCATGCTTCAGTTTTCGAATCTGCCCAGGTCGAACAATACGGTCCGTAAACGACCATTTACAGTTACCTTACGACGCATAAACGGACCGTATACGGCCGTAATATCGGACACAGAAATACGGCCTTATCTTAATGAGATTACGCCCCGTATACGGCCTCGCATACGGTGCCATATTACTGTGCCCATGATTACGAGAAAATACGGTCCGTTTATGATGTCGTATGAAGCAAATTTACGGTGAAAATACGGATAACCGTATCCATAAACCTGGATGAAGAAGTAAAAGAACAATTACATAAAGAAACAATACAAAAGGAGATTTATTTCAAGACGGCAAAATTTTTTTATATACACACAACTAAGTTATTAGGAAAAGGTAAAGATTTATTTAATAATACATACTTTCATTAAAAAAAAAAGGTTATAGAACGCGATTATTGGTATTGATCTTGGAACAACAAATTCTTGCGTTGGTGTGCTCAGAAACAATCGAGTAGAAATTATTGCTAATGATCAAGGTAATCGAATTACATAATTATATATTGCATTTATGGCTAATGATGAACGATTAATTGGGTATGCTGCTGAAAATCAATTACCATTCAATCCTGAAAGTAAATTCTCTTCGTGTTGACGATTTTTTTTTCGATTACATATATCTACATATATAGATACTGTATTTGATACTAAACGACTTATTGGTCGTAAATTTCGCGATTCAAGTATTCAACAAGATATTCAACATCTACCATTCAAAGTTATCGAAAAGACCCAGGTCGATCATTTCGACCGTCGGAAACGGCGTCGTTTTTTGACGTTTTACATCGTTATTACGCCGTTTTATTGGACCTGGGTCATCACGAGATGAAATCAATCGTATGATCAAACGTTCCGAAAAATTTGCCAGTGAAGATAAGAAAATAAAAGAACGTGCTGATGTCAAAAATGAACTTGAATCGTAAGTTATTCTTTTCTCATTTTCTTGAATAAGAAAATTAATGAATTGATTTATTTTATAGATGTTCTTATTCATTGAAAATTCAATTAAATGATAAAGAAAAGCTTGATGGAAAACTCTCAAGTGATGACAAAACAACAATTGAAACAGCCGTTGAAGGACAAATCAAATGGCTTGAATCAAATCCAGATGCTGATGTCGATGAATTAAAACAACATAAGAAAGAACTTGAACGAATTGTAATACCAATTATTGCCAATTTGTATGGAGAAGATGATCCCAATTTCATCGATCCAAACTTAAATGCATTGGTCTAACACATTTCTTGATTCGACCAAATGCACTCACAGACTCTCCTCACATTTTATAGCATTTGTTTTTTTAATTTTACTAAAAAGAAATAAAGCAATGATAGATTTAACAATTTGTTGGTCAAGTTTTATGTCTCATTGTTACACTATATCTTAAGCGGCAAACATTTTGACCCTTATTTTAAACAAGCTGTTAGGTGATGTAAAGAGTACATATACTACTTGATAAACATTGTGATAAGGCCCCAAACAGATCGACTTAATTCAAAGTGAATTAAGAAACATGATTGGTGTTTCTACTTAACAACGCCAATTACATTAGTTAATTCACTTTGAATTAAGTCGGTCTGTTTGGGGCCTAAGGGGTCAAACACAATCGAGGAATTAAAACTGAATTAGCCAGTCGAATCGTGAGTTAAGTTAAAATAGTTAAATCATCTTTTTAAGATGATTTAACGTTAATACACCAATGGAATGGTGCATCTTTTCACTAATGAAAAAAAACACTTGTGGCGACTCAAGTTTATGCATGTTTCTCATTTTTGTCATCGACATATAAATAAATAATAAAGGTCTCTCTTGATTTTATTCATCACAGTGAAAATCGGCTGTTTTACTATTATTTACAGACGTATTTTTGGAAAAAAAAGAAACGAAGCTTTTATGTACTTTTTTTTCATGATAAATAATGAGATCGCAATAGAATGAATTGAATTTTTTTTAAATTATGAACAATTATCATGTTGTTTTTTTGTTAGAAAAATGGTTAGAAAATCTTTTGTTCTCCTTGTTTAACATAAAAGTATTGATGAAATAATTGGTAATTTTCAATGATTGCTTTTAGTTTCAAATATTTTCTAAGAGACTCGCGCAACTATTGCTGTATAGAATCTGACTAGTTGTCATTGAAAATGATCAGATTAATTCGTTATAGGAGTTCCTTCAATTGACTTTATAATTCTGAAAATGTATTTAATAACCTTATTGAAAACCGTGCACACACAAGAACGACCACCTGTCAATGTATTATATTTTCATATTATATGATATGTAAGAGGTGTTTTCTGCATTCTCATTGGTGATTGAACATTTTAGTGTGGACGAGTGTTGATTTAACACAGAATTAAGTTAATTCTGTAGTGTGTTTGATCCCTAAAAGAAGAATGCTCTGACAAATTGACCGACCATTCATAAATAATGAAAAAATGTTAGATAGAAAGAACGATGCCATCGGTCATTCATTATCATCATCTGATAATATGACATCAATATTTAACCTTCATTATGTCCCGCAGACGCTTATTTGACATGCACATACATATATATAAATTCACACGAAAACAGTGTGAGTTAGAGATGAACATTTCGAATAACAATCGTTTAAATATACATGATTTGCCTAATGAAATTTTATTCATCATTGCCAACGAACTGAATATCGGTGACAGTAGCGGCGGAGCCATTAGGCTTGGGGAGGCTCAAGTCTCCCCTAAAAACAGGCAGGGGAGGCTTATATTTTGAAAAAAACTCACAAATCGTATCATGAGCTTATATTTAGTCTGCGAAAGTTCTTTGAACAATAGTACGTTCAGTTTCATGCTAGATAGCACAATAAGCGGCAAGCCAGTTGCGCTTAAGAAAGCTCAAGTCTCACCTAAAAATCAAAAGCAACATCTAAGAGAGACCCGATAGTTGAGAAAATTTTAGGAATGCCATTCCTAATTTGAGAATGAATGTCACAAAATGTTATCAACATAGTTTATATTGCATGCATCTTCGCATGAACAAATGCTAAAATCTTGATTTTTTTTTCAAAAAATACGTTGCCGGTGGTGTTCAAAATAACTGTCAAAAACTCATGCTAGCTTACTGTATGAAATAATACCTATTTTGCATCTAACATGCGATGCAAAAGCAATGGAAAAAATGTTGAAGTCTATGAGACCACATTGCCGACAATTAGATCAATAAATTTTTTTTTCATTAGAAAGAGAAATGTCTGAACTACAACTTTTGTACCGTACATATTTTTCCAGAATGTCTCTGAGAAGGAGGAAAAGCCAAAAACTGGATGTCTCTAAAACAGTACTTGCAACTTCATCTCTTAGCAGCATCATTTTTTATTTTCTTTGAATATTTATTACATCGGAAGAGGATATACAAATCACGTTTAATGATGATTTTTGTAGCAAAAAGAATGCTCTTTTCAGTGGTATATTGCATGTCAAATTTATCTTTGGTTTTTATATCAAAGTATTGATTTTTCTGAAAGAGACTGCATGATTTGCTTGTGCTCACTACCTGACCGTTCTGCAGAGGTAAAAAAAATGTTTTTTTGAATTATTTTTTTCTGCTAAGTTTTCATGATCTCACATATTTCACACAAATAACGCAAAAAGAATTGAATTTATGTGTAATTTCTATAGATGATGGCCGATATTCTTGCAAACTGATAATTCTTGTAAACGCCTTTATTTTACAAAAATTTCATTTTTCAAACCTTTCTGATTAAAGAGTCAATATGGACATAAAATAATTTACCTAAGTTGGTATTGATAGTGTTTTTAATGCACTCCATTTTGGTGTATTTTAGTTTAAAAACTGGTCTATGTAGCTCAAAATAATCAAGTAATATTGATTTTTCAAATTACAAAAACGTTGCAAGCACTTTTATAGAGATGTCCAGTTTTTGGCTTTTCCTCCTTCTCAGAGACATTCTGAAGAAATATGCGCGGTACAAAAGTTGCAGTTCAGACATTGCTCTTTCCAACAAAAAATAATTTATTGATCTAGAAGTTGATAATATGATCTAATAGATTTCGACATTTTTTCCATTTCTTTTGCACCGCATGTTATTTTCGCCAGAAAATGATAAAAATATGAATCTCTTTTAAAGATGTATGATTACACTTTCCACAATATTCATAGAAAAAGGTTTTCCTGGTTTATTGTAATCAATTTGGAGAGGAGGAAAAAAGTAATGCTGTACGGCGCTGTGTAGTTTTTCACGATAACAGTAAACTGAACGCTACAAAAAAGCATAATTCTTGCCAAAATCAAGTTTAATGTATTAAAACACACTACTGAATGCAATGATAATACCAAAATTATATGTTTCTTGTTTGAAGATCGCCTTAAAGAATTAAAATTGAACAGTTAGGTAATTAGTTGTTTAAATAGTGAAACAAATTTATTTCAGAAAAGTGAAAAATATAGTATCTTGCACGCCTTTGCTTTTAGTTCTGTCAAAACCAATTAAGACAATTCAAGAGAACATTTTGCTTCTTTAAAAACAGATTCAAGTTTTCAGGGTTTTTATGTGAGCAAATAAGTATGACAAATATTTTATTACTTTCAGTATGATATGACATAGCAATGTTTTATATATTCTATCTTTCACTATTCTAAGAACTCATTACAACAGGTCGACAAGACATTGTGATGCATTGATGTAGAGAATTCAACAGCAGCTTCTGTGATTCATTTTTTCGAAACTTTTCTGTAAGTTTCTGTACTTATGTACAGGGTTGCGAAAAATGTTTTGTCAGGGGATTACAGCTCCAACAACAAATGATATCTATATTGAATTTTATCCCAAACGAAAGCTCGTCAAAAATGGGGTTTACCCATACGAATGAATAAGGGCTATAGAGACTTTTTTCTATCGAACTTTGATGATTTCTAGAAATGCATGAACCACAGTCATAGCAAAACTTTATTTTATCATACAGAGCTCAAACTGCCTCTGATATAAAATTACTAAACATAAAAAGATTATCCTTACTTTTTATGGCTTAATGAATGATAAAAAATAAAGGTAACTTTGCTAGATTCAGTATTTTTATATCAGAAGTAGTTTGAGTTCTCTGCGATAAAAGAAAGTTTTGCTATGACTGTGGTTCATGCATTTCTAGAAATTATCAAAGTTCGATAGAAAAAAGTCTCTATAGTCCTTATTCATTCGTATGGATAAACGCCATTTTTGACGAGCTTTCGTTTGGGATAAAATTCAATATAGATATCATTTGTCGTTGGAGCTGTAATCCCCTGGCAAAGCATTTTTCGCAACCCTGTACTACTTTCATCGTCACCTGAACGAAATTGAGGCAAGCACGGGCATCTGACCGAAGATGAAAGTAGACAAGATTTCAGATGAAGAACAGCTGAAGATGAAAGCTTTTTCTTCCAAATCATGGTTTTTTTAATAGAGTTATATTATGTTCTATGCTATAAAGCAGAGAAATTTTGTGATTAAAATGAATCCTGTACATACCAAAGAAATAAATCACGAAAGATTCTCAACTTCCATAGAACATCTTTCCACAACGTTCCAAGATTATATCAGTCACCTATAGAAGGATATATGCAAAATAAACTCTGTTGAAAAAACATCGAGATATCCAACATCTCTTTGATAAGAGTTAGGGTTGAAAAGCCAGAAAATACCCCCTTCTCGTACATCACCTTCCTATCACCGCCTGAGAAGTTTTGAGCCTCCCCTAGATTAGAATCGTTCCGCTGCCTCTAGCCCTGAGTGTCCTCTTTCAGAATATGTATAAATTATATAAGAGTGGAACATATTTTGCCAAATTCTGGGGCGTCTATTAGAAGTCATAGTGGAAAATCAACTGTTGTGTTGATTTTTTTCCTTAGTTACCGGTAATTAATATCGTTCCATCTTCTTTATCAGAAGTATAAAACCATCGACGTATCAAGTAATCATGTTCTACCTGTTGCAGTCAGAGAAGGAAGCTTCAAAATTAGGTTATTTTTCGAAAAGGTGGCGCTTCAGTAAACTTGGATTTAGAAATTAGCTTAATTTTTTCTTGAAAACATCATCAACTGCAAGACCTTTTTACACACTTTCCAATGATATATGATATGCTCCAATTTTCTACACAGGAACATCATCAACTACTTCGCAATGTTGTACTCGTTTTTCTCAGCTTCACTTTTTTATCGTTTACTGATCACTGCGGAACATTTTTCCAGTCCACTGTTTGACGTACGCTGCTGATATTTTTTTTTATTCAAAAGATGACTTTTTTCTAGAAATTGTCGGAACAGATTTCTAAAATATATCTCCGTTATTTAGATATTAGAAAATCTTTGAAAAAAATCAAGGCAGTTTTTTCGATTTTCGATATAAAATGATCACTACTATTGAACAAAGATGAATTTCAAAAAACTATCCCTACAATTTCTAGATAAAAGGTTTTTCTTCATTTTGAAACAAATTTCAACATTTACCATGCTACCGCGCCTCGGAAAAATGCTCCGTGCCAAAAGCCCCATTTTCATGCGTAAATTGAGTATAACTCCTCAATTATCAAAAATGATTGGTTCAAATTTCTATCAGATGCTAGTTACATTAACTTTTCTATTTCCTAAAATTTTCATCGAAATCACTTGAACCGTTTAGAAGATAGGTTTCGGAGGGGGGGGGGGGTCCCCTTAAAAGACAATAATCAATGATAATCATATATAATTTATTTCGAGACAAAAGACTTTTGCTATTTATTAACAAATGAAATAAGGAAGAAAATAATAGATTCAATTTTTATTAAACTATATCAAAGTGCCATTGAAGTTGATATCCGATGTTTAGTCATTATTTTAAATATTTAATAATGAAAAATCGAGAATCTGTTAAATAAATAAAAAAGATATATATATGTGAATTTATCTGTAAATATAATTGAATTTAATAATTCATAAGAAATATTTAATAGTATGATTAAAATCGCAGTAGTATATGTATTTGCTGTTATTTGAGAGATTAATTATGTAATTAGAATTTTCAATGATTTAATCAAATGAATAAATTGATAAATACATGAATAATGAAAATAATTTTTCTTTTAAATAAAACTTTAATTTGATTAAAACATAAAAACAAAGAAAAAGAGAAAATCAGAAAAAAAATCAAGAAAATTTTTGATCGTTGATAACAATATTTCAAATGAAATAACAAAAATTCATTATTTGTTTATGTACAAAAAACAAAAAAAAAGTCGAATAAATAGTTAATTTTATCAAAAGATAAAAGAAAAAATTAAAATTGATTCGACATAAATAAATTATTTTATTTTAAATTTTGATAATATAAACACTCATATTATCGGTAGTTCCTAAATTTAAACAATGATCTAATAATTGTGATGCTATATCTTTAATTGATGTATTTATTGCTTTTTGAGAAACGAATAAAGCAACTTGTTCATTGTTCATAACATCCCAAATACCATCACAAGCAATAATAACAAATGATGCTAAAGAATTTCTTGAATATTGAATTATATCAGGTAAAGCTGGAATTACATGTTTATCTAATGAATAATCACCTAATGTTCGACTAACAGCAAGTTTACTTTCAACACGTGGAACATCATTTCCAAATTGAGTTATTCTTCCACCAGCTTTCTGAATTCGTTTTTTCTCTTGCTCAACATTTGGTTTATGATCTTTAATTAAAGAATTTTATTTTTCAATATAAAAAAAAAAATAATAATAATTTAACCTTTCGTAGATTCTAATACTTGTCCATCATTTGAAATAATTATTCCACGAGAATCGCCAAGATTAATTAAATAAATATATTTTGGTCCAATTAAACATGATATCTAAATATTTTAAAATAACTACTAAATAATATATTATTTAATTAATAAATATATATACACAAACAGATCCACTTTGATCATTAATTAAGGTAGATAATTGTTTATCTAATTGAAGAAATTTATTTTTAATAAAATAATACAATTGATTTTGATGAAATTGAGATACATGAATTAAATCATTGTTTGGGTTATTTCCAATTTGATTAAATGCATCAAATAAATATTTATCAAGAAGATTAGATGCATTTTTTGCTGTATCAATTCCTAATAAAAATAAAAATAAAATAAAAAAACAAGTTTAGAAATAAAAATATCATTTTTTTTTAGAAACCATTATGCCCATCGAAAATAGCAAAATAAGACCAAAGTTTCCATGTTTGATCATCAATTGGAACTAAATGTTTATGAACATCTTCATTTGATATTCTCCATCCTTGCATTCCAGTAAAAGCAAATGATTGACCATATTCTAATTCTTTTTTTGTATTTGGATTTTTTAGAAAAAAAGTTTTGTTAATTAGTTCCTTCGTTTTTTTCAGAAACATTTCTTAATGAAAAAAAAAATTACTTTCAAAATAGAATATATTATATTGACTCAACATTAAATGAGATAGAATCTTTTTGATATACTCTTGAATATCGTTTTTTTATGGTTACTCTTACACTTTTTAACCTGACAGTAGGATATATGAGTAATTTGTGTGTTTGACTCGAACTTATTATGTGAAGGGTAAGGCTTTATTTGATTTTTTTTCTTGTTCTTCTATTAGATAATTATCATTCTTTTTTTTTTTTGATGACACAATTATGTAAACAAAACTACTTATAATGAAAACTTATTTTCAATTTTGCTCTTCTATATAATAATATCTATAATTTATTATTAAACTTATTTTCAAGATTCTTGACATAAAGAATGCATTTTTAAATCGTTTGTTTTTTTGGAAAATCGTTAATGTCGACTTACTTGAAAAGGATCTCATTTTATTGATTGATTACTTTTATTGTTTCCGTATGTTTAAATATCATAAAGTCATTATTGAGCAAATAAACCATTAATAAGATATATCTTATTACGTAGTAAACAATTTATTCTTTTCGAGTATGTAAATGACGTTGTTTTATTTTTTTTCTCCCATAGTTTTCAAATATCTTGTATTAATGTTAATTATAAACTTAAAAACGATTGAGATATGGGCACTTTTTATTTCGATTAGCATACAGCCAACAATTTTTCTCTATTTGGAAATTTCTGATAAAATGTTTATACTAGAAATTGAAAAAAAAATTCGTTGTTTCTTTAATCAATGACTAAATCGTGACACTACGCAATAAACAAATAACATGGATACGATGATTACTCACTTTCCTACACTATTATTAGTCATACTTCAATGACGTTCGCATATTTGTTCTCTTAATTATATTGTTAACGAACAATTGATAAATATTATCAAATAGAGCATTATCAATGATTTTATAGGAATTTATGATATAAGAAAATAATATTTTTATATAAGAAAACTCAATATATGTATATATATGAATGTATTTCTAAGGATTTTCGTTTTATATAATTATTGTCCTCAATGATCTTTCTTTTCATCAATTTTGGTAATTGTCATATTGATGTTATTATTAGTTATTGATTTTTATACTGTTTATTCGCAATTCATCCTAGACTCAAAGCATTCGAGAAGAAAAAACAATAAGTTGACAGATGTGCTTCGATCTATATAGAAACAATTCAAAATGATTGATATATCTAAATAGAATATTTATTTTTCTGATTTTTTTTTGTATTGATTGCACATCATTGAATATTAACTGACAAGTCTAGTTCTTAAAGGTTCATTTATATCAATATTATCTTAATTAACAACTTAAATTAGTTTTTCAGATTAGTTATGTTGGAAAAAATTGATTTTAGCTTTTTAATTCAAATAAAAATTAATAATGAAAATCGAAACAAGCATTATTCTTGGTTGTTTCACATTTTCTATTGTTGTTTTATTTATTAATCTAACAATAAATAGTTTTGACTGAAAAAAACGAATATTCATTTGCTATTGATAATATATATATATATCAATGTTAACTAACTAATAAATAAATAACATATTATTGACATTAGATTAGCTAGTCACCACTTTATTTTTAATTATATTATTGAAACTAACTTCAGAAAATAATATCGATTTATAAATTTTGATTTCTTTATCACGATTTGATTGACTTATACAAATCTTTCATGTTTCAAGTTTCAATGGAAATTAAAAAAGTACGTCAACTTGTAAGTCATCAAAAAGAATCAAAAGTAATTAGTAGATAGACACGCCAATAGAGTCAATGTCGCATTCACATCAACACACATAAATAGCAACTAAATTAATATAATAGGCCAATAACCATGTCCACACGGGAACCATTCCACAGACGAATCTACATTTGATAAATTCTATTATTCAGAGTTCAATTTCAAAATTGATAATTATCTTGCTTGTAGGTTTTAAGAATCTTTTCATGTTTATGATAAATGATTCAATGTTTGATTTATTTCTATTTGTTGTTCTTAATTTCATTTTGCATATAGTTTTCATAAGTTGTCTGTTCTTCATCATTCTAGTGGATGATGTCTTTACTGTAATATGTAGTTTTATTGTGAAAAAAAAAATTTCATTTCTTTTATCCTTCCTTATTTGATAAATGTTCGTCAAATATATGACGAAATGACACATATTGTTCTTGCCGAGTGCACAATAAACACTTAATGAAGTTGTTTACCATTGTAATGATATCAACAATCGAACTGTTTGTTACCATTGAACAGACAAGCAACTATCATGTTAGTTTTGTTATTAGTTCATTCATATCAACGATAGAAGTACATAGTTTTCATTTCATCATATTCTGTCTGTGGCATCTTCGGATTAAATAAAACAATACGTCGGTAAAGTTACCACCATATTCACCATTTTTCATCCGGATTTGCTATAGTACTTGAGTTGAGTCTAAACCGACTTCAGATAGGTGTAGAATATCATGCTTATTCGAATGGTACTAATTTCAAGGTCGTTTTTCCTATAACTTGATTTCTATTGGTTACTGCTCAACCAATAGAATTTCGAGGCAAGTGGAGCACAAATTCGAGTTCTCCACCTCAGAAAATCTCGAAGTATCATCTCTGTAATCAGAAGATAGAGCTTCAATTGATCCACAATTAGAGCTTGAACAAAAACGGAACCAATTTCCGTTTAATTATCGTTGGAATAGGTGAGTCAATCTTCGTGTTTCTTTTTGTTTTATATACCATTTTGTAGCTCGTGAAATTCTCTATCGAATGGTATATAATTGTTGGAGTTTTATTTGACTATGATAGGAAAAGCTTTTTACAGAAACAGAGAAGGGTTGATCTTCTCATAGGGAAGTATAGGGAAAGATGACTATTTTTGCAATAACTCAGCAATCGCTCGACCAATCAGTCTCATCTTCGAACTCGACCGAGATATTGTTGAGACTAAACTGTGTAGAAAATTTAATCGCTATCGGACTCTCTTTTCAAAAATTATCGTGTAACCGGCCGGACGGATAGACACACTGACCGATTCTAGAGTGTAGGGTGTGGGCGTGGGTGTGGGTGTGGATCTTCTTTCCATCGACTCCAACACCCACATATCAACACATCCACACAACCACACCCACATATCAACACATCCACACAACCACACCCATACGCACACTCACACCCACACCCACACCCACACCCACCCACACATCCACACCCTCTTCGTTGTCCAACGTTGATGGCCGGTCGGAACGTGGTTGATCTTCGAGACTAAGGTCACCGGAATCGAATCGT